TCGATAGAACTTGCCTCTCACCCGCTGGTCGAGTACACAGCAGTATATATCCTCCTCCACCACTCACCGCGTGGATACTATTTCACTCTGGCCGCAAATTGCCTCAAATCACCTACGTTGTCCATAAACATATATAGAAGAGCAACTGACCGTAACACCCGTATAGCGATCATCACATAACGTGGGAACATTAGTAGTACTGCTGTCAAAACATAGATGGCGCCAGGACATACGGTAATTCCTATGGACTCGCCTAGTTATGCGTAGGAAATTGAGCTTCAGCTGTTTGGTCCCGCCCCTCAGCTGTATTCACCTAGTTGTACTCACCTAATTTGTGCATTATTTGGAAAATATGTATATGTCACCAAAGCATGAGTTAAATCACACAAAAAGCTAAAGAACTACATCGATCACTAGCCGTGAGTTCCAAACAGCGACGAAATGTTTTTATTCTTTTCAGGGTTATCAACTCCACACTTATCCTACAGCGTTAAATTTGGTATCACTGTGATCGCAATTAAATTCCCTACACGGACATATGCATATAAATGTAGAATCATGATCGCGTCCCACACCAAGAGTGTGTGAAGTGGGCGATTACACTCGCCTTGTCAATAATACAATAGTCTTTCCACTAAGTTACAATACATTGCCGTTCTCCCAAATAGGCCATGTACCTATTAGAGAAAACGGAAATTTAATGGCAAACATTTTCATACTATACCAAAGTCGGTCGATTTAGATTTTATACAAATATTTTTTAATCGCGCGTAAATTTACGACGCTACAGCAACTAGTGGTCAAAATACCGGTATTTACGCGTCGTTTATTTACGACCCAGGGGCCGGATTCAGGAAGGTACTTACGAAGGTTTTTCCTCTTAGCTAAGAGCGTTTTCCGTCTTAGCGCCTTCGTGGCGGCTACGTCCTATTCAATTAACTACCCTAAGTGGAAAAACCTTCGTAAGTTCATTCCGGGATTTAAGTGTGGTTTCGACCACTCGTAGCTTTACGTAAACTGGATATAAGTCATTTTTTCTCTACTACATAACACTGGGATCGATTTATGATATTGGAACATGACCAAAATATTATAGCTGGTGAATCTAGTGAAGAGGAATCCTTCGTGTTAGTTATATATGCATTCTCTGCTTGAAACTTGAAGTAAATATGTGTTTGATGATAGTAGAATTAGTTTTATAATAGCAAGATATTATACCAGTAGTTATTAAGTAAATAAACACTAGTGAACATGAAATATGAGAGAAGGTGATGAGCCCTGCCTGATGGGATCATTTACTATCACCAAATGCCCCTGTTCACCTAGTAGTAAGGGTGTACCTTAGCTATACATACCCATTTCTAATTTATTTAGTTTGGTTTTATTTTGAAATTAAATCTGGGTGAGACATAAAATAAAAATATGCTGCACAAATGATGTTAGGTAAGGAAAAGGGTAAAAATGTCAAAAACTTTATTCATTGAATACTTAAAGCTATAATTATGACTAGATTATTAAAAAAGAGAGAGGGAAGTAGGGGTCCAAGACCTCTTCCTGTTATACAATTTGGGTGTGGAACAAGTAATTATCAAAAGAAGGCACCATGCCGGGAAGGCTATGTAGCAGTAAGGCAGTGAGGTGAGGCAGCTACTTATTTGAGAAATGCTTATTTTATTTACCTTATAAGCTGAGGCAACTTATTTTATTTGAGGAATACTCAGCTGATTCCTCTACATTTAGCATGGAACAAAGTGTCCAAGACCTCTTCCTGTTACTCAATTTGGCTGTGTGTAACCAAACTAGAAGTGCTCTACAAATCAAGGGACCCAGAATGTGGAATGACCTCCCGAATCATGTCAAAGGCTGTACCTCTCTCAACCAGTTTAAGAGTTAAACCAAGTACTGCATAATTAACTCCATGTAACCTAACTTACCTCCTAAATGTCAACCCATGTCTTGCTATTTTTTAAACAACTCTGTTCACCAACATGTGCAATTGCTGATTTATGCTATGTTAACCCCCTTTTTGTATTTTTTATTCCTTCTTTCAGCACAATTTATACCTAATCCCGATTACTATTAATTTAAGTTTTAGTCTGTTTTTTTCCCCCCACACCTTGCCCGAAATGCTATGAGTATTAGTGGCTTTAGGTATTGTATGTACTAGCTCTGCCTATAAATCCAACATTATGTTTGTAAATCAACTGTATGTACTTTTCCTGAATAAAATGTATTTATTATTTATTTTTTAATCAGTAAGTATTAAAAGAAGGCACCAAGCTGGGAAGGCTATGTAGCACCATTGTGTGTAATAAACCAAATTTTTTTTAACAAATAATGCACCTGTATGGGAAAACAAATCCTGTCAGCTGTAAAAATATTGATGCAGTTATTTAAATGAAAAATATAATGAAAGAAATATTACTGGTTTATTTTTATCCTATCTTTTTGTACTGTACAGTACATCCAAGGAAGTGAAAAATTGAGACATAATGCACAATTTAATGAATGATTAGCATGGATTAGCAGTTCAAAAGAAATATGACTTGTATTACATATCAACATGAGATCTTAATGATCCATGGTCAACATGATTTAATAAGGATAATACAGTACTGTATTTGTAATAATACAAACTATAATTTAAAATCTTTATTACTGATTTTTTTTATTAAGAAGATTAGGTATACACAGCAATGTGCTGCTACCCTATTCTATATGGAATATTACACAGTGTAGATAAAAAACTAGCTATAAGTTTATCTAATACTCCCATCTCACAGGATGGTTAGACATACTGTACATGGAATCAATTTAGAAAATACCAGCCTCAATACAAAAAACAAATCAACTCTGACTAAACAACTCTAAGCAATTTTCACAAGAGGTAAGCACTGAATCATGAAAACATTATATTATAATTACTCTTACCAGTTTCTACAAAACTCCTCTCAAACAATGTATTTTTAAACATGTTTAGGTATACACAGCAATGTGCAGCTTCCCTATTCTGTATAAAGGACCACAGTGTAGATCAAAATCCAGCTACAAGCTCACCCAACATCCTCACCTCACAGGATGGCCAGTCATACATGGAATTAGGAGAGAACAAAATACTTAATGCTGATCTATTAGCCTCCACTGGCAAAATCTGGGTGCAGCACAAGAATATCTTCCAATATTCCTGAGTGTATGAAGTAATTACAGAGCTCAAAATACCTCATACCATTTGGTATGAAGTCACTGATAACAGGACAATCACAGATATAGTGTTGGAGAGTATGTTCTCTCAAGTAGGACTGAAAACAGATGTTTTTTTCCACCAAGAGGGCTATAAACCCATGGAACCGCCTACCCGCTGAAGCCGTAAATGCCAAATTCCAGCTAAAAAAATATCATTAAGACAATTGGCGGGCCCTTTAACAAGCCGCCGGCTTTCTGTCCTCTTCGAGGTCACTAGATAGTTAGTGGCCCTTGGGTAAATTCAGTAAATATATACAATAATTGTCAGCGCATCTTCCGAGCAACAAGGACAGCTACACAGTATCTCTTAGAATTACGTAGGTAAACAACAAATGTAACATATTTGTTTACTACAATGTCGGTGCTGGCTGTAGAAGTTGAAAAAACATTGTTTTACTTCGAAATATACTAATTTTATAAGAAAATTCGACGTAAATAGGAGGCAGTAGAGCTCCGATAAGCCAGCGCTAAATCTTCAATATGAAGAATGTTGCTGCTCTCTGATTGGCCAAACGAAACACACTAGTGACCTCTATCGGCACGCAGGTGAACCAACAATTTTCTTCCTAAGTATACCTTATTGAATCGCACCTAAGCATCTTCTTAGGGCGCACTTAGGAACCTTCGTAGCAAACCCACTTACTAAGAAATACACAGAGCTTCCTGAATCTAGGTCCAGGTGCGCTTTAACTTTTGCCTCAAATCAACTAGATTTTATTTTCTCGGAATATTGCTGCCCTCAGACTGCTCAGAGGCAATCAGAAATGGTAATCAATTGTCTCCTTATGCAGTTGCAGTTGGCAACTGACCAACATGCTATGTTGCACTTTGATTAAGAAATTACCCCATCCACCACAACTACTTTGTGGTTGGCAATGGTACGTGAAAATATAGTTATATATAAAGTGTGTATACATGTTAATAATAGCAAAAGGCAGTATGTTTATTGTTCTATGAATATAATATGATGCACATTAGTGACATGAATATATGTATTGAGCATTCCAATGTTCCACATTTTATTACATAAATCCTTCAAATGACATACTGTACAATTGAATCATATTACTGTGAATAAACTATTGGACATTGCAATATATATATATGTAAAACTATCTTTGCTGCAATTCCCGCCCCATGCTAACCCAGGGCAACCTCCACGAGATTACTCCATGAATGCTTGTGACTCGTGACATCACAAGATTTCCTTGCTTCACCACTACCAGTCACAAATTTTATCCCCCCCCCCCCCAAGATGAAGAATGCATTTTGACATCAGAAGGAAATTTATCTTCCCCTGCATACCAGGACATTGTCACCTATAAACAGGGGCACAGGCCAAAGGTTAACTTCTTAAAGTGCAGCTATAGATTTGCTGCATGTTACCCTATGCATATAAAAAAAATCCTTATAGAATGTCTATAAAATCCTTGGTAAATCTGATATCTTGGATATTTCTAATCTTATGTAATTTTGCATTTGTATAGGCCCGAGGTGACGGACGATTCTAATCTTCCAGGCTTTCCAGCACCCTTTGAAAATTACTTCTTTATATACATTGTCACGTGAATCCCCTGCATAACAGTGGAACTGCCTTTCCTACTCACCCTCAATGCCTCTGCACGGAAAGTCCACCTCTACACCAGCCCAGATGAGTCATCAGTCCTGCTACCTCTCCACCTCTCTGTACCCCCCAGGGCCCGGCAAGCCGAGCGCCTCAACTAACCGGTAGTTTTCCTTCACAAATAAGCAGTTAGCCGCCTTCAACTAGCAGTGGGGCGCTTCAACACAAAGGCGCCGCCAGCCACAAACTAGAAGTTTGCTAGTAGTGCTTGTTACCACCTTGAGTTGACACCGGATGAGTCATCATCGCCTGACTATATAAAGGTCAATGCCTCCCTAGAGAGCCAGACTCTCGGATCTCTTGGATCACCTTAGCCTCCTGCAATGCCATCTGCCCTCAGCCTACATGTGTTCCACCTGTTGGCATGTTTCAATCTGGAACAAGCCAACAGGTGAGAATGAGGGGGCTGGCATTCCAAAATTGCTACTGCCTCATGTGATACAACCCAGGAAATGATTGTTTACATACTAAAGGTGCAGAGTTGCCAATGGTAATCATGAAGCTGTCTGGTTTGGTGTGCTCTACTTTTTTGATAGTTATCTCTTGAGTACTGTAGAAGGTAATATACTGTATTCCCAAATTTCTTTGCTTCTATTGAGGGGAGCCATATTCTGCTCTTGGTGTAGTTTGTGTGTCAGCTAGCTAGGTGGGTAGTTTGGAAGGCCTACCAAAGCAACCCTCACAGAAAAAGGTATAATTTTGTATTTAATTTTTCACTCAAAATTACAGTTTATTAATATATTGAATGTAAACAGAGCCAGAAAGGTTAAGCAAAAATACACACAACAGTGCAGCAAAAATTTGAAAATGTACAGAATATATTTTATCTTTTAACAGTATGTGTATGCTATCTGTGGGAGGAACAGCAAAGTTATTTAGTCACACTAATTAAATCTGGTTTTTCTTCATGTAGCATGACAGAGCTGTGTCATTATAGTACAAGAGAGGTCCAACACTTCAAGATACTCGTCCCCACCATCCATGAGTCGATGATCACATATCTGAAAATATAGTTACTGTTACTTCACATTAACTATCTTGTTAATCCCTCTTTCTGGTGTTATTGGTGATATTTGACTATTGTGATAATTACTAAATGTCACAATATGGTCAAATGTCTGTAGCATTTACCTAATACATATATGTAATGAAAACAGCTATCTATATTTTCAACAAGATCACCATCAAAATCAGGTAATTCATTCATATTAATACTCTTTAATATATAGTAATGGGTCTCATTTTACAAAATAGAAAAGTGTCTTTTGATCCCAGTCAATCTCAATCTATGCCAGGAACATTTTGCAATACAAAAATATATTATGAATACTGTTCAAGTATTAAAAAAAAAAATAAAAAAAATTTAAAGGCGATTTGTGAATCGTGCACATTATTAATTATTTATTATTTTATTAGCATTTATTTATTATTTTTGATTATTAGTGAATTATTTAACAGTCATAAATTACAAGAAAAAACTTTTTTATACATTTTACAAAAACCCCTATCCAATATAGTGGAACCTCAATTAAGGGAATTTCTGGTTGTAAAGCACATTTTCCAGGTCAGATTTGCTCGCCTGATTCAACGAACAAGAGTTCTTTGAAGTCTTAAGACAGAGTTGCCCATCATATCATAGGTTAAAATTAAAGATTCTCTTAGTTAAATTAGCACACAGAGCATGGGAAATATGAGGGTATGAATGGTAACACTCTTAATAGGGCTAAAATTACATTTTTAATGATTTTCATAGAAGGACATGAGATCAGACGAGTCGAGGGCCTTAGGAAACCATTGAGCATATTAATTTAAAAACAAAATTCCACATTTCTGTTTTGTTTCTAGTTGCAGAGGTTTTCGTTCAGTAAAATATGGACTCTTCTGCCTTTGAAAATGAGATTTTAAGGTCAGGGCATGGGAAATATGCTAGATGGGGTTTAAGGCATCTCCAGTTGCAACGAATTGGGGTCAGTCTCGTATAGTTCATTGAATAGAGATTGTACTGTAGTCACAATTTTGAATTAAATTAAATTTCATAGGGCTAGTTACAAAGTGAAATTCAATGCTTATAACTGCCGAAGATGAGATTGTCAATACTGTATATATTTTAAGATTTTTCTGATAAAACAAAATCGGTCAAGATTTCTGAGGTTTCTATTATAATGTTGTTAACTCAAAACTCCAAAGTTTTGAGGGAAGGGTTGATGCACAGGTGAAAAATTACTTAAATGATTCAATGAAAGTGACTGAACTCGCATGTTACAGTAATCATTTTTAATTTTCACCTAAAGTCAATTGTTGAGACTATAGGGGGTATAAATGGTCTTAAAACCTGGCACCAATAAATTAACATTTACCAATTACAAAAGAAATATTATACCATCATATGTAAGTGATGCAAGTTCCAAGCTGATAGGCTGAGGCATTCTGCAGATATCCCAAGGTATCCCTTAATAAATAAAAAAAACAAAGTTCTGATGGGAAAATATGCTTTATTATCAGTGCTATATAGTTAATTATGATCAAATTACCCAAGACAAATAAAACGATTCCTACTTACAGCTAGTCTTTCGAAGATGGCAGCTTTCTGAAGGTCACTTAATCTGTCATGTGCGACAATACGATCATGTATTTGATTCATTATCTGTAATTACAAAAATAATACAAAGCTTAGTAAAGATAACAACTTCCTGTATTTCCATTTATCCTTCACTACATAATATGACTTCACTGACTATAATTTAGGGCACTGCAAACATTTAAATGACAAATATTGCAGAGAGAAGGATGAAATATTTAAGCTTAAAAACATTTCAGATGAGTAGTTAAGCTCCTACCCTATTGCAAATGATATTGTTATTTCTTAAGGGACCAATTATTAAAATATGGCTTCAGTTTAGATGAAAAGCTTCTTTCTGAGTAAGCCACTCGGTCACTTCTTTGGACCATGTTTAGCTGTAACAAAATGACGACATCACACCAATCAGACATGCAGGCGATGAGTCACAATAACGTGGCTGAAGTATGTTGACCAATCCACACACTAGAAAATGAAGGGATGACAACGTTTCGGTCCGTCCTGGACCATTCTCAAGTCGTTTGTGAGACAATCAACTTGAGAATAGTCCAGGACGGACCGAAACGTTGTAGTCCCTTCATTTTCTAGTGTGTGGATTGGTCAACACCAATCAGGCATGTTTGATTTTCACTTCCTGATGTAGGGATCCTTTCAAACAGTTTACTTTGGGTCATTAATCCCATCTTTGGGTAGATGGGAGACACTGGGGATTTCTTATCCCATACAAAAATTCCCTCCAAGTGATACTTGTTGTCAAATAGACTGCAAAGTGTTGCTCTGCTAATTGCTAGGCTGCTGCTTGACCACTATCCTAAACTGTAGCTAGGTGTCACTACCTATGTAAACAATTGCCTCACTCCCATTCTGACTTAAACCCCAGAAAGCATAGCACTAGCAAGAGGCTACAGGTAATAAGATGAACCAAAGCCCTTAAGAGTCACATGCTGAGATGGAGAACAGAAACAAATATACAGTTCAACTTCCAAACTCCCAGGTCCTGGGAGTTTGGAAGTTCATTCTTCAGATCATATGACATGGCCTGAAGAATGCATAGATGCTAATGAAATTTGAAAGGTCCAGGGAAAAGGGAATAAACTATAGGCTAATTGAGCTTCATCACCCATCACAGCAGCTGGGAGATGAACAGTATCTATGGACATGGGACCATAGATACTGGAAGAGCTTGGTAATCCAAAATCTGGTAACCCAAATCTTCGAGTAACCCGAATAAATTCACTTTTGAGTTCCTGACTCAACCCAAATGGGAATTTGGTTAAAGGGTTATATGCATAATTTTCAAATAAATGGTGGGAATTACACAAATTTTGTTGGATGTGGTGATTTTTGGTCATTCTTGATAAGAAATGTGGCCAAAAAACAAGTCGAATGTTCGGCTAATTTTAATAGGGAGGGACTCCTTATGATTAAGATTACCGACTGTAGATAACATATGTATGATAAACGAGAATGAGAAAATCAGTAGGAGCCATGAGGAGGATTCGAACCTGCACACTGGGTACTCCCAAGCAGACGTCCTAAACCACTTGGCCACGATATGCTAAAAAGTAATGCAACCTGAAATTTCAACTGAATCCTCTTAGGGGTCCTGAGGCTTACAATCAAACCAAGTCAGGGTTTCATGCATCACCCTTGATTTCAGTGGATGCCTGAGGACCCCTAGAGGATTTAGATGAATCCCAGGTTACTTTACTTTTTTAGCATATTGTGGCCTAGTGGTTGAAGGCATGTGCAGGCTTCAATCCTCATGGATTCAATTAAAACAATATAGATGGGCAACCTTTATTCAATATATACACCTTACAAGTAAACATTTTCAGAACCTATTTGTTTTATAACACTAACACTCTTAGAAAGCAAGAACTGCATTGAAGAGATATAATGAGGCTCTTACCTGGCTTGCAGAGAAACCTTCCATCATCATCAGGGTGATGAAATCAGTTAATTTTTCATAGGAGTCAGTCAAGCACACTTCAAAAAGTTCATCCAACCACTTCTCTGGAACAACTCCTGGGGAGAAACATTAAGAATGAAGGTAGTAATAACCAATTTATACCCTTGTTTCGTGTTCTGTCTTGTGCTGATACTTTTAACACCCTTTTAATATCCCCCCTTTGTTATTTCCATTCATCCACTTGTAAACCTCTATCATGTCACCCATAACTCATCTCCTTTCCAGTGAATGCAATTTAAGCTTTGTTAATCTTTCTTCATATGAAAGATTTCTAATTTGGGGAATTAACTTTGTCTTCCTACACTGTAGGAACACACAACAACACACCTACCTGACAAGTACAACACACCTGAAAGTTGTGGAAAAAGCCACACTAGTAGCAAATGATATAAGGTCAGAATTACTGATACTTGATTTTATACTTGATGATTTTAATAAAAAAGAGATAAGTTTGATGATAGACCCTTATGGAGGGAATCTCGCAAGAGTAAAATTCATAGGATGCCAGTATATTTTTTGTAGTGTGGTATATGAAGAGATGAAGTGATAAACTACCTATAATTAAACCTAGTGTTCACAGAAAGAGAAACATACATAATAAAATATAATTTTTTATATTCATAAAGTCAGAATGTAGAAAGATGATGAGCAAGATCCCACAAGTATCAGTACTGGGCCCCATTTTGTTCCCAGTTCACAAACAACCTACTAAAGAAAGTGAATTCATTAATGTCAAGGTTATGCCAATGTCAAGCTGATGAGGAGAATAAAAAAATGAAGACTGCAAAATGCAGGAGAGCCTAAATAGGCTGCAGGAGGGAGGGGAAGAGAACTATCAGAAGAAAGCCAAGCCATTATCACTATATAGCACTTGGAAGTGATCAGGATAAGGATTTGGGATAGGATGGGGGGGAAAGGAATAATGCCCAATCATTTGAACAGTTGGGGATTGAATGCCGACCTGCATGCAGCAAGACCGTCACTCTACCGTCCAGCCCAAGTGGTTGGCCAAGGAGGGAGGGGAAGGCAAATTCAGTAATAACTACAACTCGACCCATAGCAAATGTTAAGTTGTGAGAATGAGAGAAGTGAATAATTTAGACCAGAAGAACAATACAGAATAAGAGTATGGCATTACTGCACTTTTTGCACAAGAAATGCAAAACACAGAACAAGACTATCAATTTACACAAAGTTATGTGTAGTGCAGACATATAACATTGTGGTTATGCGTGATGTCAGTGTAATACCTATACACTCATCAAAGTTGAATTTTACCATTAAGTATTAAAAATACATACATACCTGTAATTTCATAAACATCTTGCTGTTGGATTTTTTCACCGCTACGAAGTCGAGCAGCTGATTGTAAAGTCGTAATAGCTCTTCGCAGATCTCCTTCACTAGTTTCAACAAACGCTTCCAAAACACCATCTTCATATTTGACATTTTCTTCTTCACAGATGTAAGACAGTCGCTTCATCATAATTCCATGTGCTGTAAAAAATAGTACAGTACCTATAGTTATGCCATTCAAAAAGCTAGATGTAAAATGTTTACGGCAAACACACTATATATCTTAGCCCATATTTAAAAGTAAATTTAAATGGTTGAATCAAAGTTATCACCTTTATCAACTTTCTGATGAGGAATTTTTATATAATCAATAGATGCAACAAGGACATTTATATTAATCTACTGTCCTAGTCTCAGATCATTTTGCATGGCCCAAATCAAGATTATTTTTTTTAATAAAGTACACCAAAAAATTATTAAATAACTACTTAATATTTACATAAATCCAAAAGTATACTTTTCACTCATGAATGCACAACTCTGCTTTACATAAAAAATAGTTACCAAGAGGTTTAAAACGAAACTTGGAACATCTTGATGTAAGAGGCTCAATAATGCGAGACACATAATTGCAGATCAGACAGAAACGGGTTGTCCGGGACTGTTTTTCCATAGTACGCCTGAGGGCTGCTTGGGCAGGATTAGTCATCGAGTCAGCCTCATCCAGTATAATGATTTTGTAAGGTAGACATGGTTTACCACTGCAGGAATGATTCAACAATAGTTAAATCAATAAATAATAAAATGAAACATAACAAATCACAGGATAACAATACAAGGTTGACAAGTAAAATTACTACTGGATGACAAAAACCATTTTTATATTATTATTCCAATTGAAGCAAAGGCAATATAAGAAATTACATTGAACATAAGAACAAAGGTAACTGCAGAAGGCCTATTGGCCCATACGAGGCAGCTCCTATCTATAACCACCCAATCCCACTCGTATACATGTCCATCCCATGCTTGAAACAATCGAGGGACCCCACCACCACGTTTTGCTTTAACTTTAATTTTAAAATGCCAAAAAATAAAATGAATATGCACCGAGAGCGTGAGAGGAAAGAAGAGAGAGACGAGGGAAGAGGAAAGGAGAGAGATAAGAGAATAAATATGAAAAAAAAGAGGAAAGAGTAAAAATAACGAGAGAAAAAGAGAAACAGAAATCTAGCACTGAATGTAAAGAAATGCATCTTTCTGGTGGTTCTTTGGAGCAGCCTGTCATAAACTTAGATTAGTTAGAAGTGAACATGTAAAGTAATTATGAGGCAAATGTGCTGAGCAAGCATGACTAATCACTTGAAAGGAATATGAGGACAAGGAGCGAGAATATGAGGATTGGCTAAAGAAACAGTGTCCAATCTCTTGGAGCATCAGAGATCAAAGCTGGCCCTGAAAGATAAAGGCCATCCCTGTACCAACCAGTCCAAGAGAAGAGAAAACCAAATACAGTATGACTATAAAGAAATGAAACACTTATTCTTAATGGCAAGGAACTAAAATACATGAAGAAAGAAGTATAAATATCTGGTTGTATGTTGGATGTATGCATGAGAGCACAAACAGAAATAAATTATTAGTACCTTATGTAAAGCTAAGCTGCATCCTCAATGGGTGGTAGCATATTCTGGGAAAGGTGATGGAGTACCAGTCTTGCAAGTGCTATACGTAGGCACTAGTAGATCCTTGACAGACCATGCAGTGTCCCTTTTATCTCACACAGGTTGGAACAAACTAAGCGAGAAAGTGGTGGAGGCCAAAACTGGTAGAGGTTTTAAAACGTTAATGACAAACAGTACTGAGAAGACTGGACACCATGAGCATAGCTCTCATCCTGTAACTACACTTAGGCAACTACCAGTTGACTGACAGTCAGAACAAAAGAGCTAAAGCTCAACCCCAACAAGCACAACTAGGTGAGTACTTAATGATGCTCTTGCACAACTGTGAGAAGGACTCCTGACATGCTAGCCCCAAACTCAAAAGAGGACTAACCAATTCCACAAAAGGAAGGAGACAACCCAAAAGGCTCACAAATTGTGGAAGCAGGTGCTGGCAAATCAGGCTAGATCCCTCCCTCCCTCCCTCCCTCCTGCACATTCAAAAGGGCTAATTGTAAAAAAGGCCTGGTGCAAACCACAAGCATTATCATCCTTCTGTGACAGAATGTCACTCATGAGTAGAAGAGGACACTACAGAAGGAAGCGCAAGAACCTATAAATTTGACTCCAATTGCCTATCCTAACAAATGGCAGGCGTAACCCAAAATTTTCGGTTCTGCCTCTGAAAATCAGAGGCAGAACCCCAATGAAATGACAGCTGACTGAGTAGGGCGACAGGCAGCAGAAGCAGTCAAAAGAACATGAGCAGCGGCATCCTTAGGAAAGTGGAGTCAAAAAAGGGGAGGTGGATAAACAGATTAAGGACCAGGCTGAACCTAAAGACTGGGCCTTGACACACAAGGCAAGCCAAGTAAAATGCTAACTCTGCCTCCTGTGGGACTGGGGCAAGGAAATTAGGCAATGCAACTGAGGCTGTCATTACAGGCAGCAAGGCCTCTCTACCAGTTATATGCATTTGTACTTAGTTATAAAAGTATTTTAATGCATTTATGTGCAATTCCAATAATATTACTTTTCTACAAGAAGATACATAAATGTTCATCACCCAGAATGGGAAGTTGTATATCAATTGCTTGTGATGTCTGTCTTATTATATGGATAAGTTATCTTGAGCGGGGTGAGAGTAGCTTGAGCTACCTCATTTTTTTGTGTGTACAATATTTATACCTCAATGAACTTATTCCAATTTAAATTCACAGACTAGGCAATCACCAGGGATGGTTAGCCACAGGTCAGGCTGTGGGAGTAGAACTACTCTCGAAATCATCAAAAGGTAATCATACATTCCAATATGAGAAGGAACAAATAAAACTAAAGTTGGAAAATATAATCAACCATGAAGCAGAAACATATTATAACTTCCACTTTTGGGCAGCAAAGATAGTATATGATTTATACAATATATGAAAAACTCCCTACTTACTCTGGTCTGGTGCTGGACACAGTTGTCTGGGCAAATCTCTTGACCTTCTCTCTTATAACCTGAATTCCTCGCTCATCAGAGGCATTTAACTCTAAAACTCTGAAAAGAAGATACAGTACTGTGTAAGTTATCATGTACATATACAGTAGCATAAATGTAAAACTTTGCCTCAAAGAACATATGCAGGGAGAGGGGAGGGGGGGAGGGGGTAAAGATTGATACTCAAAAAGAACATGAAACAGGTTATGCCTAAAAATTGTCTTGACACTGCGTGAAAACATGAAGTAAAATAGTCAACATAACTGATTACTCTAAAACAAATCCATAATGCCTGCTGGTCCCTCATGATGCATATTCCAACAGAAGTATGATAATTTTTTTAAATCATGAAAAAAGGAATTGGACAAGTCTTCAATTTGAAACCATTTGTATTATTGTTGATGTATTTTTACAACTTTTTAAAAATTATTCAGGAATTTAAAGATAAATGGAAATTAAAAGGCCAACACGCAAAAAAGGAACACCAGCAGAGTGAAGTCAATCAGGACCATTCTCAAGTTGATGTTGACTTGAGAATGATCCAGGACGGACCGAAACGTCGTCGTCCCTTCACCTTCTAGTGTGTGGTCTGGTTAACTATCTACATTTTTGTACACCATAAACCACTAAGTTGGTCCGGTGAGTTCAAACAGCATTGCACCACCACACATTACTTAACTGATGATGCTATCTCACTCTGCAAAATTCTTCCTCTCAACATACTATGCACATCACTAATTTTAAGCTCAATGCTGCTATTACCAGAAACCGGAAAATTAATCATTTTTGGTAAGTATTTTGTAAAGGAACATGAGCTGTCGTTTCATAATGCTTGGATGCACGAAGCAATGACAGAGTGCTGTGGCTGCCTACATCACACGTTTAACATCATAAACAGCATTGTGTTCACTGATATCTGAATATTATACATAGTCTATCACAGTCAAGATCTTCTATCATTGCAAAATATCAGCAGTTACTTATATCTTCAACACTTAAGTGATGCATTAGACACAAGCTGAACAGCAGTGCTGTTAGCTGCTGTTAGCTCATGCTGCATGTGCCACCTTTGGTTCCTCACTCTGTACCTTCACACCCAGGAACAGTGGCCACAATTTTTTTCAAAACAGCATCAGAGCCCCATGGAACTTTTAAATCTTTTTATATCTTAAAACATAAATCTGGCAGAGAAATTCATGGGCAAATGACTTCCTACCTAATTCTTCCCTGAAAAAGAGAAAACCAAAACTTTCTTGCTCCAGTTTAGTCATCACCAACCAACTCACCTCTGATGGAAAAGGTCTCCAAATAGCTGTCTTGCAGCAGCCAAAATGGTTGAAGTTTTGCCAGTGCCTGGAGGTCCATAAAACAGCAAATTTGGCAGCTGTAAAAATAATGTTGAATCAACATGAAAATCATTTTTTCAGAGCTAAATCACTAGGTTCCTCACTAATCTGCTCTATTATTGTGTATTGCTCTATTATTGACCAGAATTGTGTAGTCAGACATGAATACATTCTGGACCAATACCAAACTCTGTACCCCTTTAATAGAAGCAGCAAGGGGTCTTTGGGGTACTAGATCATCACAGTAACCAGCAGAAAAACACAACAGAAAGGTAGAGTACAACAAAACAGGTAACTGCTTGAAAACATCTACAAACAATGTACATCATCCGATCCAGAATCTCTGAATACCACTGTAAGAAGGGAAGGAAAGTGTAGAAACAAATACAGAGGGAATCTATAAGAAAGAGGTACTTCATTACATGTAATACTAAATTTCTGGGAGGGCTCCCCTCTTTATCAACATGGAAAGAAAAACAACAAGGCCTACAATGACCAAATCGCAAACGCTGTCATTTCATCTTTTGGTGTGTGGTTTGGTCATTATATCTTCAGCCACGTTATTGTGACTCATTCGTCTGCAACAGGGCCTACCGTGGTGGAGGGAGGGGGCAGAACCAGAAGATGTGAACCCAGAGCACCCACCCAGGCCCCAAAAACCATTGATGAAGACAAGTCTGCAAGCATTGGATAGAACAGGCCTGCAAAGAGCAGGAATGATGCACAAAGCCTTCCAGCAAGCACCAGCAAGCAGAAAAGCCTCAAAAGCCCTGCAAAATCTCACAAAACCCAAAAGTATCCAAACACCCCTGTGAACTAAGAGTGGTACAATGGTCAAACACACCACTCAAGAATACAGCCTACACAAAACAAGAGACAAGTGGGTAGCACTGCTGGTAAACATAGGGCATATCACAGAAATGCCCTAGCAACATGTCAAGAAGCATGACAAAAACTTCAGGGTGCTAAAGCCCAAGAAGGGCTGCCAAAAACACAAGCACAGAGAAGCCCAACATAATAACGACAATCAAAACCACAGCTTCAAAAATGGGCACAAACAAAATCTGAAAGGAAGAAGTCTTCAACCCAGGAGTAGCAGAGATGGAAACAGATGGGTGACTAAAGATCAACATATCCTAGGCCAAGGAATAACTTGAAAAGCCTCAAACAAAAATAACAGACCTGGAAGGAAACAAATGGAATATCCCGAAACAAGAACCGCAGGGCGACCTCAGCTTCCAACCCCGCACATACTGACATGGAAGTAGAGTACCAGGAAGGTACACACAAAACCACACCAACCCAAAACTTTGAACTCTGAGGAAAAGCATAGCCCTCTACAGGACCCGAGCCGAACACTGAATCTGCAACAAGCAAATCACAGCAAAACCCAACCACCAGACCCTGCAGAAGAACCACAGCACATGCTCTTGAGGATGATTTAGCCCCCACTGACAGACTCCTGAACTTTTTCAAGGGAAGAGAACTATGACCGAAAGCATGGGCAATGCCAGCAGCAACCAGAGAAAGCAACTGGAGCCACATTCAGCCTTGGCAAACAAGTAATCAAGGCACTCACATGTCAGCATAAACTCACACAAAATAAAAAAGAAACACACAAGCACAAGTTCCTTGCACAGGACAGACTCCAAGAGATGGCCAACACTTAGCTACAAAGCTGGTGGATTTTTCTCATTGATTATTGTGGTGGTCTATTACTTTAAGATACTCTTGCCTTTACTGAGGGGGAGGGGTCAGATTTTGGTATAGGTGTTCTGTACCAACATCTGGCACTTATATGTGTAGAGCCTAATGTGATACCTGGGTCTGGAGAACTATGGGTAGGTAGCTAGGGGAGTCACAGAGGGGTCCTCATAGAAATGCATTATGCAAAACTGATTGGTAATCATAAATACTGAGCTTTAAAACAATTTTAAATCAAAATCAAAATTTTATGAAATGCATTACTGTTATTTCTTACTTTCTGAGCTGACACACAGGTACAGAGGTGGTGGGAAGGGAATTATCAGGAGGTGCCAAGCCATTACACCTACAGTATATAGCACTGGGAAGGGATCAGGATAAGGATTTGGGATGGGACGAAGGGAAGGAATGGTGCCCAACCATTTGGATGGTCGGGTATTGAACTGTCGCTCTAGTGTCTAGCCCAAGTGGCTGGACAAATGTGGTGGGAAGAGAAAACAAAATTAAACCCTTCCTCATTGAAAGCTTATAAAAGAATCAGACTTACATCAGCACCCATCAGTGTGCTCTTCAGAACAGACACCACCTCATCTTGGTAAGCAACATCTTCTACCGTCTTTGGCCGGCTGGAAAAAATTATTCCCAAATAATATGATATATTACAAATGTGATATTACAAAAGTTATGAGATTTGATACATGGAACTTGATTGTGTATCCACATATTTGATTTTTTTTATGACTGCTATATTGTAATAATTGTAAATGAACAGTACTGTATTGAGTTAACATTTATGAAAAATTATAATAAATTTTTTTTGCTTCAGCATTGAACATGTATCAAAAGATTATACATATCAGCTCTAATTTTATTACAATATAATATTAGGACTCAGATCGATGTATATTATTATTAACACAAATCACATTAACGTAATATATATAAATGAAAAAATCTCCTAGGACTATAGGTGGGTGCGAACCTACGACCCCGGCATTGCCAGTTGCGTAGTCTACCACTACAACCCTGCTGATGGCCTAGAGGTAGAGTATGTGACTGGCAATACCGAGGTTGTAGGTTTGCACCCACCTACAGTCCTAATGGATTTTATCACTTATTATTGCTAATAGTCATTGTTTTGAACTAATTTTTAGTGCACTATATTGTAATAATAATGTTTTATGATAGAGTAATATTATAATTTGCAAAAATATTATGAAAACATACTTTCTAGGCTAAGTACATTTTAATACAATACTTTATTGTTATTGTGAAGAAAACAGTTCAGAGCAAGTTATTGAACATGAGGAGACATTCTAACTTCTGAAATACTGTAAATTAGTAATTTTTTTTATATCAATAAATGCTCGAGGTTTTCTTACTACAAATTAAAGAATACACCACTATGTACATTTAAAATCTAGCAATGAATGCAATTAAATTACTCTTTCTTTCTGTATCCCACCTAGATTAGAGTCAATACGATTTTCTGTATCTCATCCTTCCAATTTGTCTTTTGGGCCTTCAGGCTCAGTGTGTGAATCTACTCATCTTCATGAGGCTCGATCTCTTTCAGATATCAAGATCGAACCTGTTTAATACTGTTTAATAACATGATCGAAATACTGTTTAATAATATATTGAATTTAATACTGTATTTAAAAGTTTGTTTTATCAAGGACCAGATTTTTGAGATGCCATTGTATAATATTTAAAAAACTATGCAAAAACCATAATGTATTTCCAGAGATAAATTTGAAAAATGACATTCCCAAGCTTCACCAAAACATACTATTTCTCAACCCAAGGTGTAGGTCCCTTCTTCCTGGGAACCTTTTCTTTGCTGGGTCCTGCCGAGCTAGAGCCTCCACCAAGCTTTCCAGTTTTGAGGAAGGCTTGCATGATGACTTATGAAGTCTGAAATATAATAATTTCTAAAATTAGTAAATACTGTGTTACTTTTAAAAGCAAATTATCAGAAGCAAGTACTGAACACTGGTGGAAGTGAATTACTGTAATTCTAATTATAAAAAATTAATATCCCTTACTCAACACAAGTACGCAACATACCGCTTTAACAATTAAGATGATTTGTGACGATAAGTCATGGCACTTTTCTAGCAGCAATATTTTTAACTAAGCTAAATACAACAAATTTCAATCTAATAATAAATTGTGACTGGTTGTTTTTCTTATGTCAAAAATTTAAGGTAATAAAACAAATCCAGAACCAAGTCAACTTTCACACCAGAAATATTCGAGGGCCACAGGGCTAACAACACTGCAAACCAAACATGACAGTGCCAACATTATCAAAACTTTTAAAATACAGGTACTGAATTTGAAGGATGGTGATGAAGACAACTTTACAAGGTCGGATGTAACACAGTAACAGTTTCAAGCTCAACAAGGCGCAATGAAGGATTGAAAACGGGAGATGCATTTTCACCCAGTGTTATAACCCGATGGAACTGCCTACCTGTCAAATCCTTAAATGTCAAAACTCTGTTGAACTTTAAAATCTAGCTTAAAAATATCAGAACAAATGGAAGGACTTATGACAAGCCACCGGGTTCCTGTCCTCGTCGAGACCACTAGTGTTAGTGGCCCTCGGGTAAATTCAGGCAAATAAACAGTTTTGATATTTAGAAAACGAGCTAATTATTACATTTAATTTCGAAACATATTCGACCAAATCAAAAAACCTAAGCTAAACTAACACAGCCTCACCTAACAATATATAAAATTTTGACAATTAAAAATTGAGCTTTGTTGAAGCACTTGTATAGATGACCATACTTCTACAGGATACAATTCACATCGTACACAGGATGTGCTAACAAAATTTTAAACCTACCTAACCTAACCCATCTGTGCCAATTACAACATAACTTAAGCTAATACAACCTAGCACAGCAATATATATATATACGATTTTATCAAACTGAAAACGAGCTACGTCGAATCATCTTATGTCCGAAACAGACATACCCCCTTCTATAGGATGTTACACTGTCTACACAGTTAAGACCATACCGAAGTAACTTCACAAGTTTAAACACTGGAGAGGTAAATTTATCCATCGCATTTACATATAATCATTGCACAGACAAATATTATTGTGCGTGATATATTCAGTATATCTTTGATATATTCCTTCATATAGAATAGGGTAGCATCACAGTGTATATATAAACTTCTTGTTAATAAATAAATAAAAAGGCATGGTCTTATTTATATAATAAATTACGGTATCGAAACATTTTTAAATTTGTTAAACTCCAACCTGACCACCAGTGATGTCTGAGATACACACCTCTTTATATATTACGGACGTGGTGTGTGTGTGAAGGTGCTCTGACTGCCGTAGGTTCACGAAGGTGCTACTACTGCCACTGGCTCATGAAGGAGGTTCTCCCTCTCCCGTTGCTTGCAGGAAGTAGTGTTGTCTGAGGTTTCTCCTGCAGGTAGTACACAGGTCCCGGGTCTTCCCGCCAAGGATGGTCAACAAACAGTACGGAGCAGTGTTGCCGGGTCCAAATTGCTAAAAGTAGCGAGAAGACGGTCTAAAAGTAGCGAATTTGTAATAAGAGTAGCCCAATTCTTTGTTTTGTGACTGATACGGTTTTCAAGATAATATATTTTGATATATAGAGTACACTACATAATGATAGTTGTTTTATTAATATTATTTCTGCACACACACACACACACACACACACACACACACACACACACACACACACACACACCCCTCACAATTAGGTGAGTACAAACACACACACACATTATATTTATTATGTATGATTTCATTTTTTTAAATTTGAGTTAAAACTAACGTAGATATATAACTAAACCTAACCTAAACTAACATAAAAAAGTCAATAATATATGTTCCTAATATAATACTATAATACTAATTCAAATAAACCAAATGGAAAAGTTTTTTGGAAAGAAAATGACTTGGCCTATTAGGCAAATTGGGCCTTGCATAGGTAGGCCGAGAAGTGCATTCTGGCTACTAGGTACAATAATAATAGGATAAGTTACCAATATTTACTGTATGAAGCATAATGGCATAATGGATGCAGTGGAGTCCTTCCACGCCTTCACAGTTGTAGATTCTCAAGATCTTCTTCGATCAAAATCGCATATATGAAACACACACATGCGCTGGCGTGTGTTCGCTTCGTTTCTCGTCTGCAAAGAAAAAATGTTCAATAAAAATTATGAATAAGTTAAAATTGTGAATAATAAGATGGCACATGAGTGCCATCTTATATAATATGCCATATAATAATACAAAAGTATTTTACAGGTATGCGAGGTGATTTATACTTATACACTTGAATGAATTAAATAAGTTTGTCTTAACTTCTTTCATATTGCAAAATCATATCAAAATATCTACATTAAAATCATTGTTGGTAGATGCCCGAAATGCTGTGTGTATTAGTGGCTTTAAACAGAATATGTACTAGCTTTATCTAGAAGTACAAAATTCTGCTTGTAACTTTTTGAATGTATTTACTTTTACCTGAATAAACATTATTATTATTATTATTATTATATTAAATGAAGGCTGACGTGCTTAGCGCACTGCTTATAATGCTATATATTATTATCATCATCTATCAGCGAGGGCTTTTGTCTCTTATTACAGAATGAATAGACTCAAGATGGTGCAAACAATACAACTGCAATAATCCATTGGATTATTTGCAATGTTTGCAACTAGACCGTAGTTGCACACTTCTTTGATTTTTAGCCGGCAGAGGTGGAAAGTTCATTAAGCATCCCTTATTCAACCAGCGATTAGTAGTTTATTGTGCATCCCGAAGCCCGACCAGTTATGTAACTGCAATGACACCCAATGACACCCCCGGAGCCCGACCAGTTGTGTAACCGCAAGCCTAGTAAGAACAAACTGAACAACCTGTGGAGCACAACCATACATGAACCAAAGCCCAACCAGTCACACCCCCAGAGTTATGTAACCGAAGCCCGAACCAGTTGTGTAACTGCAAGCCTAACATTGACAAACCAAACAATATCAAACAAACAACATGTGAAGCACAACCATGCACGAACCGAAGCCCGACCATGCACAACCAGTAGCCCAAGTGACACCCCCGGAGCCCGACCAGTTGAGTAACCGGAGCCCGACCAGTTATTTAACCGGAGCCCGACCAGTTGTGTAACCGGACCCCGACCTGTTGTGTAACCGCAAGCCTAGCATGAACAAACCAAACAACCAACCTCTGGAGCACAACCATGCACGAACCGAAGCCCGACCATGCACAACCAGTTAAGTGACACCCCCGGAGCCCGACCAGTTGAGTGTAACCCGACCAGATTTAACCGCCCGACCAGTTGTGTAACCGAAGCCCGACCAGTTGTGTAACCGGACCCCGACCAGTTGTGTAACCGCAAGCCTAGCAAGTATATATATATCTCATCCTACCCCAACAAGCTAAACAGCCCCAGAGCCCAACCAAACTCCATTCCTAGCTCGACCAAACAAAAATCTAATTAGCACTACCAAAAACCCTCCACTTGCCCTAGAAACCAACTATGGAGCCATAGCAAACAAAAAATTGAGCTATGTACGAAAAAAAGAAACCTGGATTTCTAGCAAACATAACCACAGAGCCCTAGCAAACAAACCTGGAGCACAACCATACATGAACCGGAGCCCGACCATGCACAACCCAAAGCCCAACCAGTCACACCCCCAGAGCTATGTAACTGGAGCCCGAACCAGTTGTGTAACTGGACCACGACCAGTTGTGTAACCGCAAGCTTAGGATGAACAAACCAAACAATCAATTCAAAACAAACATCAAACAAACAACATCTAAAACACAACCATGCACGAACCGAAGCCTGACCATGCACAACCCGAAGCTCAATGACACCCCCGGAGCCCGACCAGTTATTTAACCGGAGCCCGACCAGTTATGTAACCGGAGCCCGACCAGTTATTTAACCGGAGCCCGACCAGTTGTGTAACCGGAGCCCGACCAGTTGTGTAACCAGACCCCGACCAGTTGTGTAACCAGACCCCGACCAGTTGTGTGCCGCAAGCCTAGCATGAACGAACCAAACAACCTCTGGAGCACAACCATGAATGAACCAAAGCCCGCCCATGCACAACCCGAAGCCCAATGACGCCCCCGGAGCCCGACCAGTTGTGTAACCGGACCCCGACCATTTGTGTAACCGCAAGCCTAGTAAGAACAAACCGAACAACCTCTGGAGCACAACCATGCACGAACCGAAGCCCGACCATGCACAACCTGAAGCCCTAGTGACACCCCCGGAGCCCGACCAGTTGAGTAACCGGAGCCCGACCAGTTGAGTAACCGGAGCCCGACCAGTTATTTAACCGGAGCCCGACCAGTTGTGTAACCAGAGCCCGAGCAGTTGTGTAACCAGACCCCGACCTGTTGTGTAACCGCAAGCCTAGCATGAACAAACCAAACAACCTCTGAAGCACAACCATGCACGAACCGAAGCCCGACCATGCACAACCCAAATCCCAAGTGACACCCCCAGAGCCCGACCAGTTATTTAACTGGAGCCTGACCAGTTGAGTAACCGAAGACTGACCTGTTGAGTAACCGAAGACTGACCAGTTGAGTAACCGAAGCCCGACAAGTAGTGTAACCGGACCCCGACCAGTTGTGTAACAGCATAACTAGCATGAATGAACCGAACAAACAACCTCTGGAGCACAACCATGCATGAACCAAAGCCCGACCATGCACAACCCGAAGCCCAAGTGACACCCCCGGAGCCCGACCAGTTATTTAACCAGAGCCCGACCAGTTGTGTAACCGGAGCCCGACCAGTTGTTTAACCGGAGCCCGACCAGTTGTGTAACCGAAGCCCGACCAGTTGTGTAACCGGACCCCGACCAGTTGTGTAACCGGACCCCGACCAGTTGTGTAACAGCACGAATAGCATGAACAAACCAAACAAACATCAAACAAACATATGAAGCACAACCATGCACGAACCGAAGCCCGACCATGCACAACCCAGAGCCCAAGTGACACCCCAGGAGCCTGACCAGTTGAGTAACCGGAGCCCGACCAGTTGAGTAACCAGAGCCCGACCAGTTGAGTAACCGGAGCCCGACCAGTTGAGTAACCGGACCCCGACCAGTTGTGTAACCACAAGCCTAGTATGTACAAACCGAAGAAACAACCTCTGGAGCACAACCAAGCATGAACCAAAGCCCAACCTGTTACACCCCCAGAGTTATGCAACCGGAGCTCGAACCAGTTGTGTAACCAGACCCTGACCAGTTGTGTAACCGCAAGTCTAGCATGAACAAACAATTGAAAACAAACAACATCTGAAGCACAACCATGCACGAACCGAAGCCTGACGATGCACAACCTGAAGCCCAAATGACACCCCCGGAGCCCGACCAGTTATTTAACCGGAGCCCGACCAGTTGTGTAACCGGAGCCCAAGCAGTTGTGTAACCAGACCCCGACCAGTTGCGTGACTGCAAGCCTAGCATGAACAAACCAAACAAACAACCTCTGGATCACAACCATGCATGAACCAAAGCCCGACCATGCACAACCCGAAGCCCAAGTGACACACCCGGAGCCCGACCAGTTATTTAACCGGAGCCCGACCAGTTGTGTAACCGAAGCCCGACCAGTTGTGTAACCGGACCCCGACCAGTTGTGTAACTGCAAGCCTAACATGAACGAACCAAATAAACAACCTCTGGAGCACAACCATGCATGAACCAAAGCCCAACCATGCACAACCCGAAGCCCAAGTGACACACCCGGAGCCCGACCAGTTATTTAACCGGAGCCCGACCAGTTGTGTAACCGAAGCCCGACCAATTGTGTAACCGGACCCCGACCAGTTGTGTAACTGCAAGCCTAGCATGAACGAACCAAATAAACAACCTCTGGAGCACAACCATGCATGAACCAAAGCCCGACCATGCACAACCCGAAGCCCAAGTGACACCCCCGGAGCCCGACCAGTTATTTAACCGGAGCCCGACCAGTTGTGTAACCGAAGCCCGACCAGTTGTGTAACCGGACCCCGACCAGTTGTGTAACAGCACGCCTAGCATGAACAAACCAAACAAACATCAAACAAACATATGAAGCACAACCATGCACGAACCGAAGCCCGACCATGCACAACCCAGAGCCCAAGTGACACCCCGGAGCCCGACCAGTTGAGTAACCGGAGCCCGACCAGTTGTGTAACCGGAGCCCGACCAGTTGAGTAACTGGAGCCCGACCAGTTGAGTAACCAGAGCCCGACCAGTTGAGTAACCGGACCCCAACCAGTTGTGTAACTGCATGCCTAGCATGAACAAACCAAACAAACAACCTCTGGAGCACAACCATGCATGAACCAAAGCCCGACCATGCACAACCCGAAGCCCAAGTGACACACCCGGAGCCCGACCAGTTATTTAACCGGAGCCCGACCAGTTGTGTAACCGAAGCCCGACCAATTGTGTAACCGGACCCCGACCAGTTGTGTAACTGCAAG